ATTTATTTGAGAAAATAATTTTTAGAGAAGATTGAGGTTAGAATTTAGAATTGCTTGAATTTTCACATGGTTGCCACCTTAAAATGATCCCTTTCAACGACTACTTCGATTTACAGTAATATAAAAATGAGCATATCGTATCAACAAGAAATTACTCCTTAGGATTTAGGGAGATTCTAGTTACAAACAACATAAAAACGTAATATTCCTAAAAATTCAGATTCTAGGTAGTAATTTCTTGTTGACAAATCTGTAGACGTGAAAAAATGATTTTATAAAAAATAAAATATTGATCTAAGCAAATTAAATTATTCTATAAAACGTCTTAAAACATACTAAAACAATATGTTCTTGGTGTTTATTTAAACAAATCGTTCACCATACTTTCCTGTTAGAATTTACATAAAAATTATTTTGACATTTCTCATTTTATTTACGTTCTACGACTTCTACGCTTGCTAATAGAAAGAATTTTTTACCTTAATTACTAATAAAAAAATATTCTCAAATTATTATTTGACTTATCAGATTTGCTGTCAACACTGATAGCAGCCTACTTGAAAAACTAATTTTTTTTTTGTAATATGTATATACTTTTTGAAAATCTAGAAATATTCCAAATTTCCTATACAAATCGCATATCGTTGAGAAGCTTGTTAAAAATGCAATAAACAAATACAGGGTGTTCTATTTAAAAAAGACTTATTCAACTTTTTGCGTGTTGGCACACCTGTAATTTTCGACTATTTGCTGAAACTATAAGTTATTCTAAATTTTTCTCTTGCAATTTTTCTGGAAAATATTCATAGCCGACTACGCTATAATTTTTCAAATGTTGGTCTTTTTATAACAAAAAATATAAACACTGTATACAGGATGTGCCAACAAGTGAAATAAATAATAATAAAATAATATAAAAGTTGGTGAAGTCCTTTAAATATTAAAATTTTGACAAAATAGAGGCAATTGATAAATACTAATCTAGTGTATCGCTTGAAATCATTTTCAATTATACAGCGTATCCCAAAAATAAGTTACAATATATAGATATATTTTTTAATTTCATTGTGTTTCATTTAAATTTCTATTGCCCGATGTTGCTCAGTTTTTGAATTATTATGTTGGTTTTCTTGACGAGAACATACTTTTTTTTTAAATTTGTTACACAAAAAGTTAAGATAACTAGAAAAAAAATTCTACCACTGTAAAGAGAAAAGTACGAATTTTAAGACTACATAATTTTTGACGAAATTGTTGCTAAACTTCCAAATTGTTGTAATAATAATAAAAGTAAAAAAACGAATTAGGTATAACTTTAATTTCGTACCAGTTACAACTCTCGTTACGTAATATACTATTTTATATTTCATTCAAAAAACAAATATTTAATAACTTAATACCGTTATCTTTAATAAAACACACAAATGAAATTATGGAAATTAAAAAAAATACAATGACATGTTTATTTTACTAAAATTATAACTCGATTATTACATAATAAACGTGTAAAAACCTTGTAGGTAATAAACGTGATAGCTCCATCTCTCTCACACTCGTGTAAAACATTGTAGCAATTTTGGATATGCTAAAAGTGAAAAACGGCAAAATGCGGAGACTAAGCAAAGATTGAAAACAAAAATTTAATCTAAAAACTATGGATCGCGAAACTTTCATGGCAAAGCCGCGAGCCTCCTTTATTTTTACAATATCTGATAGTGTGAGGTTTATTTTGACAAAATCGGGTTGGAAAGTCGCGAGCCTCTTTGACAAAACCAATTGAGGGCAGCCCCCGGGGGCGCAGCCCCCGTAATCCTCAATCGTATTTGACCATATAAAGGCTAGCACGATATTTTGAAAAGTCTCAATTTACATTTTTTAAACATTCCTATTTAAAAAATTTTTAAACGTTTTTCTTGCAAAATTGTGAAAACCGGTATTTCTAAACACTTCCTTATTCTCCCCCACTGTCTTTTGCAACACGATGTCTTGAAAAGTCTTGATTGACATTTTTTTTTAATCTAAGCATTTTTTTAAGAAATTTTTAAATGTTTTTTTGCAAGTCTAGAAATTTTTTAATCCGGACATCTGACACTTTCTTAGTCTCCCCAATAAACATTTCCCTAAGAATTTTTCTTCTTTTGAAAATCAAAAAGTCAGTACATTTAACACTTTCTTTTTACTCCAAGCCAAAGTAATCCGAAGTAACCCGAAGTGGCCTAAAGTGACCCGAAACTACCCGAAGCGACTCGAAGTGACCCAAACATTATTTTTTACAATCTAAAAGACACTTTTTTACTTAAAAATGAAACTCTTAATCAAATACGATAGGATTTGACCACATCTACTATCTTATTTACTACCTACTGATTATAAAAATTTAAATCCTTTAAATCAATAATAAGTACATTTCTTAAAATTAATCCAATAATCCATCCAGTCCAATTTTTTTTGCTTTTTTATTTTTCTACAGTACAGGGTGTGCCGTTTTTATTGTTACAAATTTAAACAGGTGATAGGGTATTCAATTCTAAGACAAAAGTTTTCTATAAACATGTATCGAAAAATGCTTGGTAAGGGGGCTAATAGGTTTTTGCTAATATTTCAGAAACCATTTAAGATAAAATTACAAAATTTGATACAGATGATAATCTTTTACACCTAAACGAATTCAAACATCAAATGTCGAAATTTTTAATCAGGGGCGTCCGAAACTGGTGGAGTTTAGGGTAAAAAAATACCCTATCTATTTTGGCTATAGTTTCTTTAGTTATGCATTGACCAAAATGGTAAAAATTTGATGTTTGAATTCGTTTGGGTGTATAAATGTTATCATCTGTACCAAATTTTGTAATTTTATCTTAAATGGTTTCTGAAATATTAGCAAAAACATATCAGCCCCCTTCCAGGGGTGTAGCTCCTTTACCAAGCATTTTTCGATACATGTTTATAGGAAACTTTTGTCTTAGAATTGAATATCCTATCACCTGTTTAAATTTGTGACAATGAAAACGGAACACCCTGTATATTTTTTATTTCTTATTTTATTGCATAGTTTCTTGACAATTTAAGTTTTACTTTCCTATCTAAAATTTATCTTTTAATTTCTTCGTCATATAAATGTCAAGATTATCAGTAATCTCTTAGAACAATGAACAAGTTGGAATTCCATAAAAAGTTATAAAAGAATCAAGACCAGAGAGTAGTTTAATCATTCTTTTGGGATTCGTAGAAGTACTCCATCATAGAAGATGAAAGTGTTTTTAACAATTATTTCCTTGTGATTTGCTAATTAATAAATTGTGAACTGCTTAATTATTTATTTTTTTCGCCAAAATGTTCAAAAAGTAAGTGTCAAATAAATGTCAAAAGTGTCAAAAAACTTGTCAAATTTCGGCAGATTGGGCAAATACTTGGTCCTCCTCCTCACTGCAGTGCTAATCCTCTCGATTCTCGCCACCGTCATTTATTTTGTATTTTTTCACGAGAAAATACTCCGGGGGGCTGTCGTGACCAACGGTGGCACATGTGCCCGCATCGGCGCCTCGATCCTTGCCAAAGGGGGCACCGCCGTCGACGCCGCCATCGCCTCGCTCTTCTGTGACGGCGTTTCAGTGCCGAATTGTATGGGGATCGGGGGCGGTTTCTTCATGAACATTTACATCAAAGACAAGGGGGTGACGGAATTCCTGGATGCGAGGGAAGTGGCCCCGGGGGCCGCCAGTGAAAACATGTTCGGAAGCAACCAGAGTCTGGCAAGTCGAGGGGGGCTCGCAGTGGCGGTACCGGGCGAGTTGAGGGGGTACTGGGAGGCCTATAGGAGACATGGGGGCAACGTGGCGTGGAGGGAGTTGGTGCAACCGGCAATAGACTTGTGCAAAAACGGGATTTTGGTCACGGATTATTTGGAGAAAATGCTCGAAAGCCAAATTGGGGTTATTGCACAAGATGAGTTTCTACGGTAGGTTTTTGGGGTTTTTTGGGGTTTTTCAAGTTGGGGTTTTAGGGAGGTGTTTATTGACCCGAAAACGAACAAGACTTACGTCAAAAATCAGTATGTTAGGAGGCCTAGACTGGCGAAAACGCTGGAAATTGTGGCTGAGTACGGCCCTGATGCACTTTATAATGGCGCCCTAACTGGGGGGTTTTTGCAAGATATACGCAACAAGGGTGGGATTATCACAGCTGAAGACTTGATTACTTACAAGTATTTGATTTATTTTGCATTTTGTGTTTGCAATTTTTCGTATTAATGTGCGTCAAAATAATTAAATTCACCAGATTTGAGCTCAAAAGTTACCAGATTTATACATATTTTTCGCAAATCTGCTCCAAATGCTCGAAAAATTCAAAAATAGGTAACGCTATTTTACTTTTTTCGCTAGTTTTTAATTAAATTTTGAGTGACAAAAAATCTATTGGCAACACTGAATTAGTGGTGATCCTTCTAAATTTGTTGTATCAGAATGTTTCAGGTGACGGCTAAATCAGCAGTCGCCCGTCGCAAATGAATGACAATTACGTATAAAAGTTTGACATTTGAATTTGACAGTCACAAGGTTGCCAAATTAAATTCTAAATTTGACACCAAATCATTTACAGTCACCCTATATTTACGTTTTTACTTGAAAAGTAAAGGCAAAAATAATGACTTGATTTGATGTTTTTTTGGTTTGTTTTAGCAAAATCTTGCAATTTTTGACCATATTTTGTATTTTTCGTACTATTTTTTGAACAAAATTTCACTCAACAAGAGCTAAATCAAATGAAACTACCTAAAATAATTTAATTTGTTTTTTTAATTAAAAATATATATTTGCTATTATCAGAAAAACGTGCTTAACCACTTGAAAATGTCAGAAATAATACAATTTTTAGCCTAGTTTGGTTATCTTTTGGCTAGTTTGTAACAAAATTATGCGAAATCATTGCGTTTTTAACTAAAAAATGTTCAAAAACACTTTAAAAAACAGTCAATATAAGATTTTTGATTTTTGGGGATTTTTGGCTTTATTTTAGAGAAATTTCATTCAAAAAACATGCTTGGATGTTTGCAAAATTGAAAATAACATTGTTTTCGACAAAATTTTGTTTTTTTTTGCTTTTGAATAACTTTTACTCAAAAATCAATGAAATCGAGGGAAATAAATAAATAATACCATCATTTTTGATTTGTTTTTGTGATTTTTTGACAAAATCTTGCAAAATAAATGAGTTTTTGGTTTAAAAAAAAAACAAATTGAGCTAAAATAATGTCAATAACGATCTAATTTGGTAATTTTTGAGAAATTTGTTTTAATCTTCAAAACGCTCTTAGTCACTCGAAAAAGAAAAAAATAATACTATTTTTAACCTAATTTGATAAAATTTCAGCTGAAAAATGTGCTAAAACACTCGAAAAAGCAAAAATTATTTGATTTTTTTATTTAATGTGCTAATTTTTTGGTTTGTATTAGAAAAAACTTACAAAAAACGTAAAATTTTAGTTGGAAAACGTGTTTAAAGAAAATAGTTTTCGATAAAATATTCCCATTTTTCTGTTTATTTTTGATAACTTTTTACTGAAAAATTAGTGTAATTAAGTGAAACAAGGAAAATTTAGATTTGTTTTTCTGATTTTTAGGCGTGTTTTGACAAATTCTTATAAGATAAATTGTTGGTTTAAGTGCCAGTTATAGAACAAAATTTCAGAAAAATTGTTTTTATTTCATTTTTAGTAAATTTTCTGTATGTTCTTAGAGAATTTTTGCAAAATAATTGCGTTTCTGGCCGAAAAACTGCAAAAAATGAGGATTTAGGATAAAAATATGCTTGAGAAAGTTATAAATAACACTATTTTTCACTAATTTTTAAGTTTTTTTTTGATTAATTTTTGTTCAAAAATCTGTTACATCGAATGAAACAGACAAACTATCATCAATTTAGATTTGTTTTTGTGATTTTTAGGCGCGTTTTTATAAGATCTTGCAAGTCTTTGCTTCAAAAACAAATTAAATCGAGAGAGACTCGCTAAAATGATATCAATTTCAATCTAATTTGGTAATTTTTCAGTCCGTTTTAGCAAAAAATGGTTCTGTTTCTGGCTAAAAACTTACAAAAACGCTCGAAAATGGACAAAATAATGTACTTTTTGACCCATTTTAGCGATTTTTTACCTTGTTGAGTGAAATGCCATTGAGAAAAACAAAACTATCTCTCGATTTTTGAACTTGTTTTTGAAAAAATTTAGCATTTGAGTTTCTACATTGCTAAAAAACGTGCAAAATGCACAAAAAAATACAAAAAATAATAGTGTCATCATCTTTGACTGAATTTACTATATCAATAATTAAAAAATCAAACTAAAAAGTTAATTTTACTAACATTTAGGCGAATATTCGATTAGAAAAATTATTTCAAAATACGTTAAATTTCTACTAGATCTACAGTCAGGTTTCTAAAAAATCATCAGTTTTCAGAAAAGTTTTCACCAAATTATCAAACTAGTATAAAAATCACCAGATCTGGTGAAATTTTACCAAACCTGGCAACACTGTAGCATCAAAAAGTCTAAATGCATCTTTAACTTAAAGGCTAATTCACAGAAAAAGTTTGAAAAAAATAATTTGTATAGAAGATTGGGGTTAAGATTGTTTGAAAACGAGTATATTTATAGGCCCCAATGGAAAAAACCGATACAAATCAAGTTGCCTTTAAACCAGACTCTTTTCACCCCACCACCGCCCGGCTCTGGGGTTATTTTAGGCCTAATTATGAACATTTTGAATGGTTTTTTGGACTTCTCCCAACCCAAGTCCATAACAAACTGGCAACGAATCGTCGAAAGTTTCAAATTTGGGTTTGCAAAAAGAACAACACTTGGAGACCCGAATTTCGTCAAAATGGACGAGGTTAGTACTCGATTTAAGTACTCCGAGTCCAAATCTTTTCATTTAGTTTGTTGGTAATTTGACGTCGAAATTCTTTGCCGAAGAAATGAGAAAGCAAATTTCTGATAGTCAAACAGTCCAAAACCAGTCGTACTATGGGGCCGATGTGTACCAACCCGAGGACCATGGTACTGCAAATTTGTGTGTTTTGGCCCCCAATGGCGATGCTGTGGTGGTGACCAGTACCATTAATCTTGAGTAAGGTTTTTGGGACTTGGATAAATTACCAAAAAATTTTTTTTTGTAGTTTTGGGGCCGGTTTTGTGTCCGAAAGTACCGGAATTATTTTAAACAATCAAATGGACGATTTTTCCTCCCCTAATTTCCCCAACAGTTATGGGGTACCACCCTCACCCAACAATTACATAAAACCGGGGAAAAAACCCGTTTCTTCGATCCTCCCCTCTATCATCCTCGACAGTGATGCCAACGTTCGGTTATTGGTGGGGGGTTCCGGTGGTACCAAAATTATAACCTCAGTTGCTTTGGTAAGAAATAAAATTCCCCCAAAAAATTTTCTGATGGGTTTTAGGCCATTGTGAAACACCTTTGGTTCAATTACACGATCGAAGATGCGGTTGTTGATCCCCGACTCCATCATCAACTTTTTCCAATGAAGCTTTTCTTTGAGAAGGAATTTGAGAATGTGGGTGAGGTTTTTAGTAACTGGTTAGTGGATTTTTTTTTTTCAGGATTTGGGTTTTGTAAATGCGTTGCATGATTTGGGGCACGATTATGAAATATTGGGGCCCCCGAGGGGTTTTAATACTGTGACTGCAATTTCGAGGACGAATGACACGGTGAGGGCCGCTTTTGATCCCAGGAGGGGCGGTGATAAAGCTTTTGTTGAGTGAATAAGTTTTTGTAAAAAATAAAATTTTTACTGATTTTACTTAAATTAATAAAAAAAATGTACAAAAACTTAATTTATTTATTTCCACCCCCGAAACTGTGTAAGTATTAATTAATTTAAAATTTAATTAGTGAAACTTAAGATAAGACGGAGAGATGAACCACATTTTCAAATCAAGTCACGAATGTTTTTTCTCATTAAGTTACAAAATAGCAATACATTTTTTTAAATACATAAAAAAGTAATATACAGGGTGATTCTTGTAGTTAATCAAGTAAATCAAGTAGGTTTTGAAAAATGGTCAATAACTGTCAAATTTTTTTTTCATGAGGAGTTCTAAGTTTCATAGTTCATCTTCCCCACGGATCTACCACTTCCGGGTTTACCCTATTTTACTTATAATCATCTGAATTCTGATCAAGAGTGCGTACCAAAAAACCCTAAATGTGCTTTTGTTGTTTTTTGAAACTGAATAGGTACATAGAAATACATACATAAAAAAATTAATAAGTATACAGAGTGATTCTTGTAAAGTCTACATTAGAAACATTCAACTTTTTAATGTAACTACGGCTTTGAAATTTAGTACGCGACCAAAATCGCCCATTTTTAATTCAACTAAAATATTTTCAAAATGGCGGAACTTCCGGAAATACGATAAATCGGTGCCAACTTTGAAATTTTAAAGAGTAACTACTCATTTTTATTGCACTTTTGAATTCACCTTCTTAAACTGAGTAAAAATCTGTATCTGTCATAGTTTTTCACATATGTCAATTTTTTGATCAAATTTTTTTCAGAGATCTGTTTAAAAAATCACAGCTATTAAAACTTTTACAAAAAGTTTTTTTTTTATTTTTTTTTTGAGTTGGATAATAGAAGGTGTGAAAAATCTCCTAAGGTAGTTTAAGTTTTTCAATTCAAATTTCAAGGCTAGTATAATTTTTTTGAAATATTTAAAAAAGGTTATAACTCTTATTTTTTAAATATTATGACCCAATTTTTGATTTTTATAAGGACTTTTATCATGATTTACACCTATTTCCAACAGTTTTTGAAATAATTACAAAAAATGTTTTTTATTTTATCGTTAATCAAGTTGACTTTGAAAAATAGTCATTATTGTCAATTTTGACACTTTAAATAGTATTTCACTGATTCATCGTCCTTCTAAAGGAGAGATTTATTTAAAAAATCACAGCTATTAAACCGACAAGGAAATATTTTTTTTCGCATTTGGTAACCAAAGAAGTGAAAAATCTTCTAAGGTAAGTTTAAGTTTGTTAATTATCAAATTTCAAGGCTAGTACAATTAAAAAAATATATCAAAAAAGGCTATAACTCAGTTTTTTCTATTTTCGATTTTTATAGGGACTTTTATCGTGTACTACACCTATTTTTAATAGTTTTTGAAATAATCACAAAAAATGGGTTTTAGCTCTTTATTTTGATCATTAATCATAAAGGCTTTGGAATGGTCAATAATAGTCAAATTTTGACATTTTAAATAGTTCTTTGCTGATTTATCACCCTTTTAGAGAAGTTTTAAGTTCCGTAGTTCGCCTCCTCCGTTGATGCGCCATTCCCGGATTTACCCTACATTACTTATAAAAAAGCATCAACTGATCAAGAATGCGCAACAAAATCAATTTAAATTTAAAAAAGAAAT